TACCAATGGTGACATTGTCTAGTGAAATAATGCCCATAGCCTGAAGCAGTGTTTCTATTTTACTTAGAAAAGGAATTGAAACTTTCTTTTAATATTTACTTTCAGATATCGGTAAAAAGAAAAAAATAAACAAACATTCCAATTTACACTCATTTTTCGTAGCTCTAATTAGTAAACTTCTAAATAAATAACAGTATATGGTAGCTGACATCTTCCGTATTAAATGAGTGGAAGTATGAAAAGGATAATTATTCCTCTTAGACGTATATGCTTTTTAATTCATATCAGCCTCAGGAACATATACCAATTTCATTCTGGAAACATGATCTATAAAAAGGCATAATCAAGATTTTGTATTTCTACAGGATGGTGAAATAAATATTCACTTCAAATTGATATAGGTATTAACTTAGTATGAATGTGCATGTGGGGTAGATATATCTCATTATCTTTGAAATTCTGTTTTATTTAAAACAAGACATTGTTATTGATTAGCAAAACATAATATCTTTAAAAGAAATTTAATTTTCTAATATTAAAAATAAGCAGACATGATCTGTCATTTGAATCCTTCAATGATATAGTCCCAGTATGCCTTCCCAGATTTACAGTCCACTGTTCCCTACATATACCAATTATCATTCCAGCCATCCAGAGATATGGCCAGTCCCTGAAGATTTTTTCTTCCTTCTGTATATTACACATGCTATTGCTTTCCATCCTGAATGTTCTCTCCATAGCGCTACTGTGTGCCACTATTTTGACAATAATTTTCACTTTGTATCATAATCACTGTTTATTTTGACTTCTACCCATGTTTATCAAAGTTAGAGGAGGAGCCTTGCCTAGCAGCCTCTATATCTCTACTAGAGAGTTGCCCATATCTTGCACAAAACAGATCTCAGTCATTTTAACTGGATCTTATTTACACTATGAAGCCACAGAGGCAACAGATCTATGAAAATAAATTAAAATATTATTGAAGTACTCCAATACAAACAAAGCTAAAATGGAAAGCTTTTTCTTCAAAAAGTACACATGGCAGTTGATGGGAAACTAGTCCAAGAAATCAATAACACCTAAGAATACATATACATACACACTAACCTGATAAGAAAAAGGAAAAGTAAACACCATTCCTATCTCATTATAAATGGCAAAGCCATTATGAAGGCAAAACAAAACAAAACAAAACAAAATCTATCTTGGGAAGCATTTCAAGGATACAAAACAAAGTTAATTTTAAATCTAAAGCAAATATGGTATGCAGATTTAAGGCAAGAAACAGTGCCAGTGGTATAGAAGGATATTTCTGAATGGTAACTTACCAGGAAGATAATACACTCAGATAATCCACTAGGAAGATATAAAAATCCTAATTCTGTATGTGCTAATAATATACCTTCAAAATATATAAAGCAAAAATTGATAAAAATAAAGAAGAAAGAGACAAATCCACAGCCATAGTCATAGACATTAACTAACTTCTCTCAATAGCTTTTAGGAGAGCAGACACAAAAATCAGGAAATACATAGAATATCTGAACAACAAAATTAACAAATGTGACCTATCTGAAACCCAACAATTTTGGAATGCACATTTTGTGGGTGCACATGGATCATTCATGGAGGTACATCACAGGCAAGTACACCATGCAAGTCTCAATTTCTAAAGACTGAAATTGTTGAGAGTATGCTTTCTGACCCAGTTAAATTAGACTAGAAATCAATTAAAAATTATAACAAGAAAACCATCAACAGTTTGGAAATTAAATACTTTAAAATTGATATAATATCATTCTCATTCACATTTCACTAAGCTTTCTTTAGTGGGTAAAGAGGAATGGAGTTACAGAGAGTGATTCAGGAGTTACTAATAATTTTAACTATTCTTTAGTTACAAATCCAGACATCTCCATGGGAATATTGGCTCAACATATTTATTGAGAATATTCCATGTGTCAGGCACCATTTGTGCTGTTGAAAAGACAAAGTCACTATAATCATTGAGTTTATGTCCAAATACACAAATAAGATAATTTGATAATTTCAGTGCTGTAAGGAAAAACAAAACAAAACAAATAAAAACAAACAAACAACAACAACAAAAAAAACTGTGTATTAGAAAAGAGTAACTGTGGAAGGAGAAAGATGTTACCTCAGATAGATCTGTCAGGGAAAGCCTTTCTCAGGTGATGAGTGCTTGGTGTTAAGTAGATCCCTGCCATATTATCTAGTAAATAACATTCTACTTGGAGGAATCGAGAACATTCACACCCTAGACATGTCTAGGGCGGGTGTGACCAAGACAGTGAATAAGGTACAGAAGGTAAGAGAGAACAAGACAGAGCAAGGTCAAACATGGCCTTGTAGGTCACGAAACGTATTTGGATTTATTGTAAACATTGGGAAGCCACTGGAGAGATTAAAGCAGGAAAAATCACTCAGATGATTAGAGGTTTCTGTAATAAAACATGACAGCCAGTTAGGAAACTATTGCTATATTCCATGGAGAGATAATAGAAGTCATGTGATATGGTTGGACTTGTGTATATCAGGCCCATGTCCAGTATGTCAACACACGTGGTATGAAGAAAAACCACTGACAACATTTTGTCTGTGAGAAATCCAACATTCTCTGTGGTTATAAGAACTAAACTTTCCATGTGCTGCTGTTTGAGAGCTTTATCAATCCAGCCTACAAAATATGTTTAATGTTAACAAATTAAGTACATATATAACATAAAAGTTTTAAAGTATTGTTTCTACATAATTTTTAGGACAGATATAAATATATAACCATTAGGGAGTGTGGGATTGACATGTACACACTGCTATATTTAAACCGGACAACCAACAAGGACCTACTGTATGGGAGCTCTGCTCAATCTTATGTAACAACCTAAATGGGAAAAGATTTTGAAAAAGAATAGATACATGTATATGTATAACTGAATCACTTTCTTGCACACCTGAAACTATCACAACATTGTTAATCAACTATACTCCAGTATAAAATAAAAAGTTAAAAATAAATAAATAAATATAGAAAACAAAAAAAAAACAAAAAAACCCCCAAATACTGAGCCATTTCAGAAGGAGAGATAAACAACATAATCAAGTAACCAAAGGCAGGAAAGACATTTTTAAATAGGAGCTATAACTACATGTTATTGGCAATTATCAGCTACAGCAGGTGAATCCAGAGCACAGAATTTCAAGAAAAGTTTGTTTCTTAAATACTTTTTAGGAGAATTAATTCAGAGGGTCCAAGCAGCAGAGTTTTGAGTATAGCAAAAGAAAAAGTGTGTGTTATGCAGCAATAGTATAAGCTAATATTCATAACAAAGGAAGTATCAGTATTGAAATGTTCAAATTAAAAAGTTGTTTTTCTCACAAAAGAATGGGGGAAGAAAAAGAAGGAAAAGAAAATAAAAGTTACCTTTAAAAGGTAGAATCAATAGCTACTAGTTTAGAGTTCTTGTAAGACAGATTTTTAAAGAGTTGCTAACACAGAAACAGCAACAACTTCAAAATGAATGAAAAATTTGATTGTGCTTATTTAATAACTTTAAAACAAATTCTTAATTATTTTGAAAGTATAGAAGTTTTTCCCCAATTTGGACAAGGGCCATGTGTTCATTTCTAAGTGATAAGACCTTCTGCAGGTAAGAAACTGCCTACAGTGATTATGTACCTAGTGAATATGTGTCTAGAATTGCCTTGGTATGGTAAACATCATGTGAAACAGAAAATTATGTTTTCTAAATTTTAACAATGTCTATATTTTAAAAGAAATTGACAATAAAAGAATCAAATAAATGATAGATGGTCATTTATTTGGTTTTCTAAACGTTAGAGACATCCAAACAACTAAATACTGTTGACAAATTTTTTAAGTTATTTTGCTAAATAAAAAAAAATGGATTTTAGTAAAAATTAAAGACTGAAATTGCCATATTTATTTAGTGCCATATTTAATGACAAAATATGGGATGCTGGGAAATTTACAAACTCAGGATAATCTTATATTATTAGAGAGTTGAGATGTGAAACTTTTAATAATCTTTAACATTCTGAAGTAGAATATTTACAACATTTTAAATTTGGTTATATACTTCCCTAGTTATGGATATATGATGTTCCAAACTTTAACAGTGTAGTCAAATTCCTGTTTATCTTATTACCCATATAATTTTTTTAAAAACATTCATGGTCACAATTATTTTGAAAATTTTTCCAAGTACATTTTTTTATTTAAAACTTTTTCTTTGTTAGTTAGGTTTGTGTTCCTTTCTGGTCATCAAAAAATCTTTATAATAACAGTATTTAAATATTCCTACAACTTCAATGTCCTCCTCAAGAATTATTAATTCATTAACTATACTTCAATAAAATTTAAAAAAATACATTACAGAAGAATGTTCCATATTACATTCACTCTATATAAAATTAATTCAAATTTTCTTTTTATTAAATAAGTTTTTAATGACTCAGATATTTTAGCTTTTACATAGTTACGGTTCTATACTTAAATTAAAACTGAAAGTGAACAAAGAAAATTAGACAGACTTTTCCCTAAAACCAAAACCAAATAAATCTCAAGCAGATTTCTTCATTCTCTTAAAATGTATTTACCATTGCAAATAGGGAAATCAAAATCTCTTCTTTAAGAAATATTTCCCACAAAAAAACAAAGCAGGCAGCAAGTGTATAATTACGTACTTTAGAGTGAAACCTAGGCAAACCTATAGACAAAGAAATATGTTAGGATACATTAAATTGTTTTGAAGAGTTAACATTATCAATTTAACTACCACATGAAAAATAAACAAATTGTTCTTCATTATTTGAGTCCTCTGATCTTTCAAGCACATGTTATTTTTTCAAAGGTCAGACTGGGAGAAATTATCTTTTCAAATTGATATAGTATTGTATGCTGCCTGAATTAGAAAGGTATCCAGCAGAGTGGGGTGGAAATACTATACTTCAGTTCCTACCTGGGTAAAGAAGGGTTCATAAATCTCAACTCCTTTATCAGATCCTTGTAGTAACACCTCCTGGCCACGTCTCCAGCTGTACCGAACAGGTGGATTGGAATTGGCAACACACCGGAGGAACACTGTTCTCTCATAGTAAAACTGTTCTTTAGCTTCACCTATACTTTGATGAACAGTTACTACTGGATCATCCAAATCTATAAAACATAAAAACAGTGTTATGAGTTACATAGGTTTTAAAGTACTATACATGTAAAACCTAACCAAAGATGAATTTTCCTAATTGAATGTATTATTTTATTTTATTATTATTTTTTTTTTTTGCGGTACGTGGGCCTCTCACTGTTGTGGCCTCTCCCGTTGCGGAGCACAGGCTCCGGACGCGCAGGCTCAGCAGCCATGGCTCACGGGCCCAGCCGCTCCACGGCATGTGGGATCCTCCCGGATCGGGGCACGAACCCGTGTCCCCTACATCAGCAGGCAGACTCTCAACCACTGCGCCACCAGGGAAGCCCCTGAATGTATTATTTTTAACTAGACTCTTTTTCATTGAGTTTATTGAACTCATTTGCAGAGAAATTTCCAGTGATAGAAGGTAAAGCCAAATAATAGTTACTTCTTAAGATCTCTATTTGCTGAAATAGTACAAATGACCACATATTTCCAACACATCATCAACAGCCACATAAAACAGAGCTCCATGAGAGAGATCAGAAAACTTAAGAGGTTAGCCAAAACGAAGAACCACAGTCATAGAAAAAAATATCAAGTAGCTCAACTAGCTCTTAACTTTAACATACTTGTTTTTCCAATTATTTATAACATGTATTTTTAAAATAACTTATGTTTATAAATTATTATAATCTTTGTAGTAAGAAAATATGATCTTGTACTGGGTTAAATTTTTCTTTCATCTCATACTTTATATCCCAGATCATATTTGCTAGTTAAAAATGTGCTAACAGAAGGTACTATTAAAAGGCATTAATATTTCTATTATTGAATATTGGAACTAAATTTTTGCCATTTTACATACATTCTAAAGAAGGGATATTTACTATAGGGTTTAACAAACATTTTCTGGAAAGAAAAAATTCATGAATATCTTGGGCTTTGTGGTTCACACAGTCTTTGTCTCAACTACTCAACTCTACCATTGTAGTGTGAAAGCATCCAAAGACAATAGGTAAATGAATGAAAGATGAGGGTTGCTGAGTTCCAATTAAACTTTATTTACAAATGCAGGTGCCCCAGCCATATTTGGCTCATGGGCCATAGTCTGCCATAGATTGCCAACCCCTATATACCATATCCCAGGTTCTTCTCTTAACAGAAAAAGAAATTAAGGAGCGTATTTGCTTTAAAACAACTGTTTTGTGCATTTGAAACTTTCTAAGAGAGTAAATCTTAAAAGTTCTTATTACAAGAGAAACAAATTTGTAACTTTGTATGGTGACCAATGGCAACTAGAGTTATTATGGCGATCATTTTGCAATGTATACAAATATTGAATCATTATGTTGTATACCTAAAACTAATATACTGTTATATGTCAATTATACCTCAATAAAAAATACAAATAAATATTTTATAAAGATGTGTTAAAATAGTAAAAAGGCAACTAAATTAGTGAAGTAATAGCTTCCCTAAGGAATCAAAGAACAAAATCCCAAATTTCCCCAGTTTTAAAAAGTTTTCTTCCAATGTGAATTGCTTGACAGTCCTACTTAGATGTCTAGCTTTGCAACATTCTGAGTTTTCTTTTCTTTCCCCAACATTAGAATCTTTTCACCGCTATCTCAATGGCCTCTAATTTTAGTAGTGACAATTTACAGAACTGCTGCTTTTTTGGTAAAGTTGTAGGACCTTTCAGTTTAAATTCATTCTATTAGCTGTGCAGGGATATATGCCTGGTTTTAATAAGTTGGAGTACTTAAGGATACCAGCATTATTACCATGAAATGTTTAAAGGTCTTTAAAATCCATCAAATAGTCTCTTATTTGATGATTAGGCTTTTACATATAAATCAAATACTACAGGAGATTGATTAGCTGAACTCCGTCTTAGTGGCTTGAAAAAAAGGTACTGTGAGTCAGGTGTAAACAACTTATTTTCTCTTGTTCAAAACATAATTTCTTTTAGTGATAGTTTCCTTTTTAGAAATATGAGCTGTGTTATATTGTAAAAACAAAATTCTCAAGCCAGAAACTTTCAGAAGAAAACAGATTTGGATGGGAAACATTGTAACAATGGTGACACTCTTTGGGCTCCAAATAGTTATTAATATGGTATTTTTCAAACCCATTAACTGATGTATCCCTAGCTCTTTTCATGTTAGGTGGTGGTGTTGATAGGTGCAGTCAGGAATAGACCAAACCCAAACAATCCTTTAAACAAGCTCTTCCCTGAGAGTTTCGGGTTACTGGCCTTCTGAGGATCTAATCCTGTGACAATGGCTTACTGAACATTGTATTGGCAGAATTATCTGTTAGACTCACCCATGTTTTGGAATTTCCATTTCATAAAACTCCCAAATGATTTTTTTTTACACTTAAAAACAAATATGCCATTAGTGGTTACCTTTCTGTACAGTATAAAATATTTCTGTCTGTTATTTTTATTACTATTTTAAAAGATTAAAAACACATTTGAAAGTGAAACAAACAAAGAAACAAAAACCAAACAAGCCAAAAACAAGATTTCTTTTAGACAAGTCAAATAATGGCATGGCTAAAAAATATATTTTAAGTGAGATTATATGTTTGTGTGTGTGTGTACACATACATATATACATACATGATATACAGTTTAAGTGACATATAGAAATATATCATTTAAAAGATATGTTTAATATATACTCTATACATTACTGAATATATGCCTTAGGTCAGCCTTCTCGGAAAAGAGGCTCTAAGACAGATGTGTGCAGGAAGTGTATTGGAAAGTACCTTCAAGACTCGTGGGGGAGTGAAGGAAATAGATTTGTTAAGGAGGACAGCTGAACTACAGCGCAGTTGCAACTGAGGTCTCTAACTCTAGAGAAGTTTTGGAGTCCTGAGGTCCCCTCAGAGCTGTACTACCTTAAGACAAGGAAGCTAAATCTTTATACTACAACACTCTCTCCCATCAACCAGTCCAGGCAAGTGTGCGGCTCCCCACCAGGGGCCTTGACCTTGGGAGGGGCAGCTCTCTTTGGCTTATGGAAATTTCTAGAGAAGGAATTAGCTGATAGCCATCAGCTGCTAAAAGTTTCAGTTGGCTGGAGAATAAGTGCTTCAGCCCTGAGGAAGGGATCTGGGGGTGTATTACAGCATCCACTCAGATCCACCTGTGAGGTATGAAAATTCACTCTATCTCAGAAAAGCTATTCCAGGATTTTGGGTAGTCACCTTTCCTAGGAAATCTTTCAAAAGAAACTGTGGTGGGATGATAGTTATCATCTCCTTCTACTATTACCATTCTAGATTGCTCTCATCCTGGGCTAGTACATCTTTTGGTATAAGTAGCTTACCTAGTGAAGCTACCAGATCTTTGTCACTGAGGATTCTGAGCCCCTGGTAACCGTGCTCTTCTCAAGCTATTACTGATGCATTTGTCTGTTTACCACCAAAACTGGACAACAGAATAGCAAGAAATGACTCAGTGGATCAACTAGGTATGGAATATATTCTTGCTGCCTCACTGTGTAACGACAATCCTACCTTCAAGCTGACTATATGGGCCAGTTACTCCTGCCAGGATGGTGACTCCTCTTTTCTCCTATTTTCTGACACAGGAAGTGAAGCCTAAGGTAACAGAGTAGCAACCATGTCTTGAAGATTAATGGGACTCTTGCTGTGTCACTTAATAAAAGCTTTTCCCTTTCTGAGAACTAGAACTTCTAAACTGGCAGAGAGACCAGAGTTGTGGGGAGGGAAACACAGATTCCCCAACTGGATCAGTGAATGTGATGGTAGTAAGTAGGGTCTCTACTTGATTCTTGAACCTATGTATTCTCCAAAAAAAAAAACAAAGAAAGAAAGAAAGAAAAGAAAAAAAGAAGAAAGAAAGAAAAAGGAAAAGAAAGAAGGAAAGAAAAGAACAAAAGCATCATATAATAATGGTCATTGATCTAGGATGTATCCTGCATCACAGAAGATGGCACTCCCTCCTTACTGGATATTATCTCTCCGAGACTCAGCTGCCTCCTCCAAAGGCCATTCTATCACTCTAGTAAGTTAATTTTTTTAGGTGGTATAGAATATGATATGACTAGAGATTACCATGGCAATGCTCCCACTGCTATATCTTCACTGCTATAAAATGTGCTTCTGGTCCCATGAGTGATTAGGTAGGATCATGTATTAAGAATAAAACACTCTAAAAGCCTTTGGATAGGGCTGATGCTAGCTGAGGTCAGCAGAAAAGTCCATATTCAGAATACATGTCAAATTTAATCAAAATGATGCACTGTCACTTTCAGGGTAAAAAAGTTCTAATATGATTAACTTGCTACCAAGGGACTGGTTGGTATTCTTGAAGGATAATGCTTTATAAAGAGGCAACTGTTGGTGTCTGTTGCTGCCAGGTTAGATATTCAGTAGTGGCAGTAGACAGACTAACCTTCATGAATGATAACCCATATTTCAAACTTTTGCATAGCCTCTATTCCTACCATTATAGCTATTCTTTTCACGAGCCTGTTATCCCAGCTATGGGTGGTCAGTGACAGAAGTTGGTTGATATCAACATCAACTGTCTGCATTACTCTGTCTATTTCATGTTTTGTGCTGCTTCTGTGGTAGATACTTATTAGTGCTCATTAACATGCAATACAAATATTATCACACTTCATGCCACGCCCATAGGTCCATCCAAATACTTGAACAGATCTCCCCTTTCCACACAAAGTGGTGTGCCAGGTACACCACCCAAGTCAAAGTTCTGTTCACTGGGAAGATTTCCCCCTTATTCCTGTCTATCAAGGACATCACAGAGTGGGGTTTTAGTGAAGCAGCAGTCCAGTTTTGGGCTTGCATACATGTACTGGGCTGATTATTAAAGAAGCTTAGCCTTTTTTCTCCACCATTAGCTCAAAACAGACCCTCTATGTGGCCAGGTATGAACTCAGATAGAGACACTGGTAAAACACTGATAGATGCCATAGGGGTCTAGGCACTTGCTTGTACATTTTACTTAGGTGCTTTGGCCCTGGTC